ACGCGGGCCCGCAAAGGGGGTGATCGGACACCCTGGCCTCTCCTCCTCCTCCTCGCCCCCGTTCCTGGCCGCAGAGGGGACGATCGCACATCCCTTGCGGGCCAGGCGCTACTCCTGACCTCCTAGCACTCCTCCCCAGTCCCCTGGTGTCGAGTTGGGCTCGGCGACGGCTCGACGCGTCATTCTCGGTCACGTGCTTCCCACGTGTGCGTTCCTCCTACTGGGGCGCATGTTCCCTGTCGTCACGTGCTGCGTGTTACGGGCCCGCGATGGCCCGACACCAGCGCTGGAGCGGACGGGCCGGGTCTTATCCGTGACATCACCCCCTCCCTAGGAATGACTCGTCTCGAGTCGGCGTGGCTCGGTCGCCCTGGTTTCTCGGGTTTAATTTTGACTCTAGCTCGTCCTTCCAATCGCAAATTCCATCCAGCCCATAAGCTTAAGCTAAGCTTCGGCTGCGCATTTTAATCTCCCGCGGCTTCTGTCGCCTCGTGGCGTCCGCAGATCAATTCTTCCTGTCCATCAAGTGTTTCACCGCGGTCACGTGCGGTATAGCGTTTCGTGTTGACAATATATTTCGCGTCCTTTGTCCTCTTCTTGCTATTTCGGGCGTCCTCGGGGCGTCTCACTTCGCTCTCCTTTTTGCGAGGGTTTCCATATGGAATATTCCCTGTTTCGGGCCATATATAGGCTGCGTCGATTCTCCTTTCCCCTTCGTTTTTCGTCATCTCCCCGTCATGGCCCCCCACTATTCCTTTATCGACGAGACATTGCCGCCGTACTCCAGCGCAGTCCCGCCGTTACGGGTCGCGCCTGGTTTCCTCCTCGAGCACTTTCTTTTTCTGGACGCCCTAGCCTTCCCGTCGTTTGCCCCAACCAGTGACCCCAACCATTCTTCGTACCCCGTCCAACAGTCTGGCCTCGTTGATTTGGCGGACCTTCCCGCTCGCCAGGTCATCCGCCTCCCCGTGCATGGGGTCGACCTTTCGCGTGTCTTCGTCCGGACCCACTTCACGCGTCGTCCGCGCCTCCACCACTCCCGTCCCCCCCGCTTTTCGCGCGGGTACTTCAGGGATCCTGCTTATCGCTTCTCCCGTCTTCATCGCCCCCCTCTCGTTCGCCCTCCCAGTACCAGTCTCTGGGATTGGCTTCAGGCCTTGTTTGACGCAGCCATGGTGGCTGCCCTCTGGCGCCCGTCCGTGTTCGGTCCTCGGGACCGTTTCTTTGGCGTTCTATTCGATGCTTACGAGTCGTCGTGTCGGTGGAATTTCCCTGGTTGCGGGTCGGGTGGCCCTTCCGACTTACGCGAATACTTGGGCGGTCTCGCGCGCCAGTTTGTCGTTGTCCTGGCGCCGTGTAAGGAAAGACGGGGCGGATCGAGAGGCGTTTGAGGATTTGTGGCCAATCCTCGTGCGTAATCGGCCGCTGCTCCCTCTTCGCGTTCACTAACCCCCTTGGCAGCGCGAGGTCCTTCGCTTTGTGTTCTCGTTATCATTGGCGGGCCTCCCGGTCTTCCTGTCCCGTGGTCTCTGGGACCTGGCTCTCGACTGTGTGGGTCGCGTATTCCCCTCCTCGTCCCGTCCCCGTGCCGAGTTGCTCCTTCATCATTTGCAACAGCCCCGTCCTTTGCTCGTTCCTCACTACTTCGCTTGGGACCCGGTACTGGAGTTTGGGGGTGCGATTCTGGGAGGGTCCCGACCCTCGCGCGGCGGTGACCTTTGAGGGAGCCCGTAACCTCCCAAGAGGCGGAATTAGGGACCACCTTCTCTTTCCTGGGTGTGGCGGAGCGTTGGGCGGAGTGGTTGGATCCTGGCACGGAGCCCTCCCCACCCCTGGTTGTTCGGCAGGATGCTCCCGAAATGATTTTCCCGGATCTGCCAGTCGTGGAGGAGTTGGGGTCTGTGGTTGGTGCCGGGCTACCGCCACCCGGGCCGGGGGTGATCCGACATCGGGCCCCGGTAGGTTTGCCCGAGGGCGGCGTCTGGTCCCCGGTTCTTTCCTTCCGTCCCCGCTCCTTGCTGGTGGCCCCCGACGTCATCATGCTCGATGCCGACGACTCCGACGATGTATTGATGGGCCCCTCACGCGCGTCGTCACCCGGGTTGGAAATGTTACCCGGCCCCCCGTTCCTATCCGTGAGGCGTCCGTGATCGAGATTTCGGACGATGATCCGCCGATCCCAGTGATCCCCAGCCATTCTGCCCCCCGTACCTTCCCGCCGAACCGGGTGTCACGGCTTACGGTGGAGGACACGGACGGATACGTACCCTCTGCCCCGGCCTTGAGTCGCACGGGCGCGACCGAACGTTTTCCCGGGGGAGCCGTTGCGCCGCCTCGGCGAAGTGGTTCGGACCATCACGCCTCGTTGTTCCTTTTGCGTGCAGACGGGGCGGCTTTGTACCATCTGGGGCCAGCCCGGCGACCTTGCCTCTAAGCTCCCAGCCAACGTCCGGCGGGCTTGCGACTGGTGTAGCCTCTCACACCGCCGTTGCAATTCGTGGGGCCCGTTTGCGGCCGCTTACGAGGCCAAGGATTTGCGCGCGTCTCCGTGGCGTTTCGAGTTCTGGGAGTGCACGGATGAGGAGGGCGGGTATGCTCTGTTGGAGATGGATTCGCGGTTTGCGGACCTTCAAGCGGTGTCGGAGAACTTCCTCTATCGTCGTTTTTGCTTCCGTTTTCTGCCCCGCTCCAATACGCTCCGGGCGCAGCATCGGGCGGCGTTCGGAGGACAAGGGGCACTCTACCCGTCCCAACGTTCGGAACCGGCAGGCGGGCCGCCAACCGTCTCCGCGCCGCCCCCGGGCTCGATCACGGGGTCCTCGAACTGGGCCGTCGCGTCGGCGTTCCCACTCCCCGTCTCTTCGGCGATCAGCCTCTCCGGTCTGTCGGCCAGCGCCGCCTCCTCGCGCGCGATCTCCTGCACCCCCTCGTTCCGCGCCGATCACCCCGATCCGTCCCCCACCCACTGGGCCGCATAGGGACGCGGGCCGCCCCGAAGCGGGAACCAGTTCCGGCCCCCGGGCCCCTTGGCGATGGGAGATATGCCTTTCCGCCCGGAGGGTTACCCGGACGTGATGCTGTGGTTCGGCGAGCCGTCGCCGGTTCGGGCCACCGCCGAGGCGCACCGGTTGTTGGACGACCCGGATGTGGCCCAATCGTGCCGGTTTTCCGCCGTAGGGGTGACGCTGTTGCACCAGTTACTGACCCGGCCCCAGGATAACCCTCTGTCCACCGGCGTCCTGCGTTCACTCCGGTCCGAGACTCGCATGTTGATGCAGCCGGTGGATTTCGAGCTGATGGATTACCTGGGGCACCGGTTCTCTGCGGCCCAAATGGTGGAGCTGTACACTCGGGTGCGAGACGTCTTCGGGGCCGTCGACGACTCAGGGTCGACCCAGCTGGATTTGTGGGAGCAAAGGGCCGCCGCGGACCGTCGCCAGGCCGGTCGCTCGAGCCCCGTTCCTGGGGGTACTCGGCCTGGGTCGGGGGTCGCGACGTCCACCTCTGTCGGGTCCTTCGGCGGGTCGGAAGGGAAAAGGCCGGGCGTAGTCGGAGGGGGTTTTTTGTATTTTATTATTTTGTACTTTTTTCTTGGACTTTTTGCAATGAATCGTGTCGCCTTCTCGTGTGTTCTGTTGTGCGGGCGTAAGGGGATCGCTTAGATTCTGTCAGACTGCGGGTCGGGCCGTGCAAGGACTTCTCCTAAGAACGCGCGCCCGGAACAGAACAGACGGATAGTCGGGCCCGCAAGTACGGCGGGCGGTGTAGATCGAAACCGAAAGGGTCCGTGAACTTGGTCCCTTGTCGTAGTTGGTGGTCGATGGTTCGAATCGGGTCGTGTCAGGCCCGATGAGTCGATAGCGTCTCCTTGCACGGAGTAAGGTAGTTCTTCAGACGATCTAAGCGATAGAGTACAAGGTACACTATCGCGCATTATATACGCGGGCCCGCAAAGGGGGTGATCGGACACCCTGGCCTCTCCTCCTCCTCCTCGCCCCCGTTCCTGGCCGCAGAGGGGACGATCGCACATCCCTTGCGGGCCAGGCGCTACTCCTGACCTCCTAGCACTCCTCCCCAGTCCCCTGGTGTCGAGTTGGGCTCGGCGACGGCTCGACGCGTCATTCTCGGTCACGTGCTTCCCACGTGTGCGTTCCTCCTACTGGGGCGCATGTTCCCTGTCGTCACGTGCTGCGTGTTACGGGCCCGCGATGGCCCGACACCAGCGCTGGAGCGGACGGGCCGGGTCTTATCCGTGACATGCCCCAGACAGTTGATCGAAATGGGACATTATCATTAGGCTGTGCCGACAGAGGACAAGTGTCTAATGAAGCTTCTGCAAGCCAAGCATAGCAATAAGGATCCAGATGCTGGTGATGATTTTGATGGATAAATAGTTGAAATTTTTTCTTTCTTTCTTTTTTTGGAAATAACCTTAGAAAAACCCTTAAAATCGCATCCTAAATAATGGTAAATAAGTATCTAAGACCCTTTAATTCAAAAACAACCCTTATTTTGGGTCTTATAAACAATGCTGAATGAGGGGAAAGCCTGGAGAGTCCAAAGGGGTGGAGTCAGATGTGCCTCAAATGAAGGTGGGAAAATGCCTGATATTTATATTAATTACCTTCGAAAATCCATGCTCTGAATAATAGCCCTAGAACTTTGTTTGCAACCTCATTTTCCACCCAACAGCATAATATTGTGGAAATCCACATCATATTCTGCATGCAAGCTAACTACGGGCTCCTATGTATAAGCATAATTGAGTATAACCTTACTTATAATATCTACACTACTTTGCTATCTTGCATTCGTCCAACAAGAAAAAAGATGAAAAGACCGGAATCCATCCCCTACCTCCATCAAGAAAGCCAGAGCAGACAGCACAGCAAGAGAGAGAGAGGATACATGTACAGCGGCGGCATACACCTGGTTGTGTCTCAGCCGAACAAAAAGTCAACTCAGAAGACACAACTCACAGCAAAGAGGAAAGAAACACATCATGGACTGGCCCACACGCCAGCATGTCCTTCTGCCGACAGCCGTCGCAGATGCCGTGTCCAAAAACCTTCGCGCTCACTCGGGGTGGCCAGCCGCAATCGCGTTTCTACCATCAATCAGCAAAGAACAAAAAGGGAGGAGTATACTGACCGCCATCGCCCCTCAACGCCTCATCCAGCGTCCCCGGCGCACCAAACAGTCGGCTTGACGAATCCCTTCTCCTCGATGGCGACGCCTGAGCACCCTTTGGCGTCGTGAATGCCAATGCAGCACCAAACTTGATGCCCCGGGAGGGTGTCGACGTAGGATCAAATGGCGCATCTTCACCAGAAGCATAATAGTGGTCGAACAAAGGCGTGCTGTTACCAAAGAGGCGTGCAGGGCGGAGATAATGTGGTGTCGCAGGGCCCTTTGGCGTGATGGGCGCTTCCCGCGAGTCGGAGGAGAAGCCTGAGGCAAGCCTCGAACGGCGTGGTGGGGTCTGTGGCACTGTCCAGGCAGCAGGCGAGTCCTGTAACGGCTGGTAAAGTGGCGCATCTGGAGATTTGTGACTGGGCTCGTTGTCTGTTGGCGCGAACGTAGGCTGAACAACCTCCTCTTCCTCATCAGAAGAGTCAGATCTGTCGACCACGATGCACGCCATACAGAACCACTCGGCATCTTCAGGGCCCAGCGCAGCAACATTGGGTATTCCGATGCAATGAAGGTGATACCACGTCCGACATTGATCGCATTGGACAACGTCACCGTCGTCAGAGTCGTATTTCCCTTTACAGATGCAAAGAACAACCTCGTCGTCTGTTTCGTGACGCCGGTCTTTGCGGAATGATATAGCGCGAACGGTCCGTTTAGCAAGTAAAGCTGCACGAGCATCGCCTGGGTCGGTGGGAAAGAACATGTTCCGTCGAGAACCACCAAAGGTTTGAGGTCGGCCTTCAGTCGAGACATCAGCCGCCAGCGAAACCATCTTTCCACGACCCCTACGTGCTGGAGTAGGCCGTTGGTGGTCTCGATACACCCGTCCCCATTCTGCCGAAGTCAACAACTCTTCATCGTCGTCTTTCTCCGGCTTCTGTTCGTCATCACTGCCGCCCTCTTCATCCGTATCGCGACTGAAAAACGACTCGATCCTTTTCATGCGGTGGCGCTCTTCTTCTTTCGTCAACTCTGCCCTTTCCTCCGACCTCAACTTCCATGGGAACTCGGCATCGGGCCAATTCGGCTTTTCCGCAGCCTCCTCTAGTGCCGCTGCCATTAATGCTGCCCGTCGTTCGCGTGCACTAGGCTCTTGTGACTTTTTCTTGGCTGCCGCTGCTGCCTTTTTACCATTGGTGGCAGGACCCTTCTTTCCACCTTTGACCTCGCCCAATCCGCGTTCCTCGCTTTCAGCATCCATCAACACCCGTCCTATTCCTTGTACGGTCACAGGAAAAAGTTTTGGCGGTTGAGGTTCAGTGTTAGTATTCGTGGTTTCGTTGGGACGGAATGCGTTCAGACGTTTGAATCGGGTCATCTCTTTGGCACTTGGCGGTCGTTGCGCTTGAAGTGCTTCAACTCGTTGGATGATGCTTGATGGTCCAGGCGGCCCGGGAGTCGGAGTGGGGGTAGCACTTGGAGCTGGTAATGGATGAGGTTGTCGGACCCAATCAGCAGTGCGCTGAGAAAGCAGTTAGTCGAGCCACAAAATGTTAAACAGAACACACATAGCGACCATATCCACCGGCCATCAAGCTCTCCTCGAAGCTCTCATCGGAGGTTTCCTGGAAAAGTGCAATTCGACGACCCTTGTGAGGGCTGTCCATAATGCCAACACCAGACCGTCTTGAGCTCTCTTCTTCGGGAGTTGTTGAGGGCCCGACTTCGGACAATGGCCGTTTGCCACGTTTAAGATATTCAGGTCTTCGAGCCTCTGCTTCTTGGTGGTGGGTCATCTGGTTTTGTAGCATTGTCTGGCGAATTCGTTCCATTTCACCACCTGCAGAGGCAGAGGCAGAGGCAGAAGGTTGTGAAGACGGAGGTGGAGAGACGGGAGGTGTTGATGTTTGAGCTGAAGGAGTATTTGATTTGGGCGGAGATGCAGAGGCAGTAAAAATATCGTCAATATGGACTGGAATCTGAGCGGAGGTCGGTCGTGGAAAGTGAAGAGGACGTGGTGTTATTGTGAGTTTATCAGCGAAAGGAGATGACAGGTTTGCTGGATGGGCGTTCGACGGAGGGGGAGTTGCCATTCGTGGTGGAGGCCGCACTATCGTTGACGGTGCAGTCCTGGAGATGATCAAAATTTTGGGAAATGATATTAGAGGAAGGCAACGCACGAAGATGATGCTTTCGGAGTGGTAAGGTAATGAGAATATGGACTAGAACTGTCAGTTGCATGAACAGGGGCGTATTGAGAGGAACGCACTTGAAATGAGGTATCGCATGGGGCATTGGATATCGGGAAGGGTCATGTCGTGGCGTGTAAGGACTAAAATATGAGTTTCAACAAGGGATGCATGAAACAAGACAAGACAGACCTCGATTCCGGAGTCATAGTCTGCTGTTGCGGTTGCCCCTGCATTCTAATGACGGTCAAGACGGTGACTGCGTGCAGTGGGCAAACGACGCAACGGTTTTTGCGAGGGCGGGCCGCTATAGAGGACCGGACGGTTGAGTTGTGATCTAGCAGGTCATCAGTCTTCGTCGCCTGATAAGGCAAAATACGCACATCTGAGCCAGGGGCGATTCAGGTCCCTGTAGGTTCAGATATTGGCCCATATTGTCTGGACTAGAGGAAAACGTGAATGTCAGGGCCAGGAAGGACTTTGCCATTGTCGAATGACCTTTGGGGGGTGGGCAGATGACTTCGTCCAAGCGGAAACGTCGGCGGTCTCGATTCCACGGGACTGTGAAGGGATAAGTTCAATAGCGCTGCAAATGGTTTATGGGAAGCACCTCGCCATTGCTTGTTGAGTCTCCGTCGGATTGCTTGACGAAGGAATGGAAAGTTTGGCTGCTTGTGGTTGAGAGGCCATAGTGAGTAAGGCACACGAGCGTGGAGGAGTATACGTTCAGTCAGGTGTCGCAGAAAAACAGAGCAGGCGGTGAAAAGGGCAGATATGAAGGTGGGGAATGGGAGTTTGAAGGAAGGAGCCAAGCTGCTGACTAAGCAGCTGACCGTGGTTGATCGATGGTTTTCCCACACTCATTAGCATCATGCAAAGACATCCATCCTACAAAGTGCTACAACCAGTCGTGACCAAGTATCCCCGCGCTGCTGGCTGTCTCTTCCAGACCTACAATGATATCGTATACGGTCAATCGCGTTTCTTCCGCCCAGACGACTATGAAACTGAGGCGCTTTCAGCACAAGGATGGACAGATGTGCAAGTCCTAGAGTTGGAAGGGTTATCGCGTGCAGCGATATCAGGGAAGAAACCCAAAATGGTCAGTCAGGATATTAGTCTTCGTGACGCCAGACGCGTCTGACTGGATTCTTAGGATGCGACACTCTATGTTGTACCTTGTTCTCTGGCTGAAACGCTCTCTTTCGGATGGTATGTCCTCTCCCTCAATGTTTCAATACATCTCTTCTACAGCAAAACAGGCTACAGGATGCTTTTACCCAGCTCTCAGACCCGCCGGAGATATTCCTCGCAATAACCTCTGACGACGCGTCGATCGTCTACTACAAGCTCAGCCGCGGCATCGTCAAGCCCCAGTTGTGAAGGAGGATGAATAACGACGTCTAGAGGTCGACGGAGAGCACTATTACAATCCCAGTCTCAAATAAAACCATCCAAAACTGCTTCTCGGTCCGCCAATCCACCTTCGTGGACCTCGACTTTTACGACTAGTTTCCATGGTATCAAAACCTGCCCGACGTAGCGCCCATCGGGGTTATCGTCGAGCCCGGGGTTGACGCGAAACTCGTCGGTATTTAGCAGAATGATGTTAAGCGGCTTGTCCGTTCCAGCAAACGATCCAATGAAGACTCGGCCATCGGTAGTGGTTATGCGCAGCAAACGCGTCAAAAGGGAGTGTAAGCGGGATACTGCTGACGGTGGATGCAGTCCTGAAGGTTCACTCGCCATGATGGGTACTAAGCAAGCATGTGACGTTCGTGACTGACTGCACCAGATTTTACAATGTGAATTGGCGGCATGTTCTACATATACGTACATTACAGAAGAAGATGCTCTGCGTATGCTTTATGCCAGTATATGATGGAGATAATTACATTTGACTTTGGACTGTCCACAGTCAGAAGGGGGAAACCGGAACGAATTGTCGACTAAGAGGAAATCACGAGGTGACTGAGTTGGCATCTTGGAGCTCAAAGGGCGCCGCCGGGTTATCTGGACGCGTTATCTCCTCGTATATGAGCACTTTGAGGTCCTCCTTCCCCAACGGCTCGCCCATGTCGAAATCGAAGAAGGATGGGTCGATGGCCTCGGCAGTTGGCTCATCCGCAGGATCGTGGTATGGCTGTTTAGCGCTGGGTTAGCAGAAGAAAGGTCCCTTGATAGTTTTGACGTACTGAGAGGTATGGATGCGCCAGCGCCTCGCCAACCTCAATCCGTCTTTTTGGAGAAAATGTCAGCAGTTTCTCCAATAGATCCAACGCCTATCGTGTTGAGTGAGTTACAAAAAGCCAGAAGTCGGTGTCGCACATCGGGGTTGGCTTTGGGGAAAAGTTGCGTGAAGGGTCGCTTCTTGCGGAAAGGTAGGGCACGGATATATTCGCGACTGTCTATTGTGTGAGACAATCTCGTCAAACGCCTATGAAAGCCCTGCCTTCGTTGACTGGAGATGGCGTAGAAATCGTCAATTGATGGAGTCCCTAAGATGTCGAGGATGATGCTGAGTTGGTGGTGATCTAGGAGACATTAGTGACGGAACTTGGGAGGTCGATAGAACACTCACAGTCTCTCCCAGGAAACAGCGGCTTCCCGTTCAGCATCTCAGCAAGTACACAGCCAACAGACCACATATCTATCGCACGCGTATACTCCTTGAAGGTGAGCATGACTTCAGGTGCACGGTACCATCTAAGCCACAAGTCAGTCACAAGCAGAAGACAAAGGGATCATACCGAGTGGCCACATATTCAGTGAGAAAAGTACTACTGTCGTTGGCGGCATGTGGGGGAGGGCGAGCAGAACGAGCAAGACCAAAGTCGCACAGCTAACAGAATTTTTTAATTGGATCAAGGAACCAATGACAAGCAAGTCCACCTTCAGATCGCAATTGGCGTTGAGGAGGAGATTGGATGGCTTGAGGTCGCGATGGAGGACATCGGCGCTGTGTAGTGCCTTCAGTGCACGCAGAGTCTTTCGCAAGAGTGAATAAGCTGTCGGAACACGCAAAAATCAGGCTTACTTGGTAGATGAAGTACTGGCAATGGTCATCGGACAACTCCTGTGTGCGAATGACTCGATGGAGGTCGGTTTCCATGAGCTCCTGCACAAGATAGACCTCAGTGAATTGGGAGATGGAAGGGGGGCGAAGAATGTCCAGAATCGCGATAATATTCTCATGGTGAAAGTGTCGAAGAAGCTTTATCTCGCGCAGTGTGCGAAGACAAAACATGGAGTGGTCGAATGGTGTTATTCGTTTGATAGCGACCTTGCGGCCAGTCGGATTATGGACTGCTGAGACGACCACACCATATGCGCCTTCCCCAATCACATCGAGCACGGCATAGTTGGTTCCCACGACGAAGTTAGACATCGTCGCTAGGACGAGACCGGCGGTGGCAACGGCAACGGCGAGGAGAAGGAGGAGGAAGATGAAGTAAATCTTCAAGTGAAGAAACAGACCGTCGTCACATCAAGGTGACGGGTGTGATAGGAAGGGTGACGAAGGAGCCAGACGCCCAAAGTAACGGACCGATCGCTCGATCTCGATTGCGTCCCGATTGCCGATTGCCTTGCGATTGCCTTGAAGGCGGAGGCAAACAAAAACAGAAACAAAACGAGCGGGGAGATGGATGGGGACGGAGGGAGGGACGGACAGAGGATGGGCGGACGGGTGGCCGCGAGAACAAGAACGGGCCAGCATATGACGTGCTGGCGCCTGCATGCACACAAACGTCGTTTGACAAACGACGACAAACACGACAAACGACAACGGGGGGGGGGGGGGAAGGGAGAGAATGAGAGAAAAAAGGGAGAGAGAAAAGGAAACGGGAGGGAAACGGGAGGGAGAGAAAAATCCAATTGAATGTACAAACTTACCAAGTCGTTATCTCAGGCCCCATCCACCCCATATTTCCCGCGGCCGCAGCCGCTGCAAGCTGGTTTAATGGGGGCATCTTGATCGTTGTTGGATCGTTGTTGGATGGTCGAGGTGTGGTGGTGTGGGGTTGCTGCAGCTAGCAGGAAGTCACTGGACTGTGTCACAGAGTCGTTTGGGTCTGCCTGCCGGTCGCTCGCGTGTCGCGGTCGCGTGTCGCGTGCCGCGGTCTGCCAGTTGCCGCGGTCTGTCGCGGTCTGCCCGTCGCCTGTGTGCGCGGTCCGCAGACACGCGACTGCGGGTGTGGGCGGGTGAATTAGGTGGGTGAATTAGATTCACCCGCGGTCGCGCCGGTCGCGGGTGATTACAGGCAGTCGCGGGTGATTCAGGTGAATATGAGCGAGTGATTACGCTACTTACGCGAGCCGGACTTTCAACTTGACTGTCTTTTGACTGGCCAGACTGTCTTTCAAGTACCAATCCCCTTGTCAAAAGACGTTTTGCTCCAGCGAAAATTTGCCGAGCAAGCAAGACACCCCAGAAAAAAGACATCTATGCTATATGGGGACAGCCAGTCCGGGCCAGAATGTCTTGCTTGTCTTGGACGCGTTCGGCGACACGCTATGTCTGCGCGTGACCTGAACCACAAACGACGCGTTGTTTGTTGAATGGTACGATGCGGCTTAGTCAGATCGTCACTCTTTTGCGCGATCTCCACAACGAGCGGTGGCCCTCTCCAGCCTTGCTGCCCTCAGCAGAGCAATGCCTGGTGGAGAGGGCCGGCTTATTGCCTACAACGGCTCGTTGCCTACCTTCAGCTGGCCCAACATCAAGTGACGCCTTTGCGACCTGCCGTTTGCGACCTGCCGCCATCACCTCCCGCCCACCGCAAATATCAGCCGCATACTCTTACCTGGCGGGTCCAGACAGCACATTGCACATATATTACCGGTACGCCACTTCCAACCCACCCCCATCCCATCCCATCCCATATATTCCATGCCGCAAACATGCCACAAGGAGATTCGCCCTTGGATCCTGCGTGGCATGCCCTTCCCTCTAACTCTCTCCAAAATACTCTATTCCCACAAGCTTACTGAATGGCTCAGAGTCATTTTTCAGATGTCAAAAATCAGTGTCTGCGCAAGGCGGCCTGAAGCTAGGATGGCCGGGGGCTCATTTCTCGGCCTATTCCTGCCAAATCCCGCCCACCTCTCTGTCCCCTACATGACTCCAGATGCCACAAAAACCGAAAACGGCAGGCAACGACCAACACATTCCTGCCCGTCGCTGCTTCATATTTCCGGGTGGCCGCCACTTCCTCCATCCGCCACAAGCCCAGCTCTTTGTCGTTCCGCGCCAAACGCTGGAGTTTGGCGCGAACGGGGTATCCCTCCGATTGCTGAAGCTTTCAGCTCAAATGGGCCAGCCGCTGTCTCCCCGGCGCTTGCCACGGCTCCTGCCCACCCCCAACCCTAGTCGTGGCCGGTCTTGGCCAATTCTGGCCCATTTCGCCTCAAAATCGACACACGGGGTTGTGTAAATATCCTCCACATTCCGACAGACTCTCGTGCCGAATTCGCCTGCCCCATCATTTTTTCGTCCCGCCTCTTCTGCTTCGGCACCGTTCTCCTTCATGGCCCCCAAGCGTTGTTGTATCACTGGTGCTTTACACTATGTGCATACGAGGCTCTGCCGAGCTCTTCGCTGGGTCTACGTCGGAGAACTTTGTCTGCTCTGTCAGCTTCGCCAAGCGTCGATCGTGACCTCCCCCTTGCTTGTGCCGTTACCTACCATGGGCATTCCGAAGATATGGATGGTGTGTAGGCTTATCGCATGCCGCTGCTAACTAACCATTACTGCAGGAGCTCAAACAAGTGGAAGAAAATATATCAATAATCTCGCACACCCTGAGCGCTGGATTTCTGGCCAATCCTAGTGGGACACGGACCATGTTAATCGGAATCGATGCAAGGTGTGTACCAATTCAACGAGCATTGATTACTGAACGGCTATACCTTCCTTTCCAGTGCATGGATGCATTGTGCGGCCGCAAATGAGAAGTCGGGCCATGGCAATGCAAGACAGGAGCTTTGGGCCCGTGTAGAAAGGTTTCTGACTGCGGCAGTAACGCTCGTCTTTGTTTTCGATGGCCCAGGGCGCCCAGGGCTCAAAAACGGTCGCCGAATCTGTAAAAATGGCCATCGTCTTACTGGAGACTTCAAAAAGATTATCGAAGCCTTTGGTTGTGCTTGGTTCACGGTAAAAGTCTTTGCTTTTTATGGTAGACTTCAACTCAATGATGAATAGGCTGCAGGAGAGGCGGAGGCAACTCTCGCAAACATGTCTTCCGTTGGCATTCCTGTACCAATCGATATAGTGCAGTCAGATGACTCTGACTGCTTTGCTTTTGGTGCCTCTGCGGTCCTACGTATGTGTGTAGACTTGTTTTGCCGTTTTGCTTCACAGGTATGCTGATGTTATCTGGCCTAGCCGTTCAGAAGACAAGAAGAACTTTCAAGCCTCCCGCTACTCTGCTGCTGACATTAGTCAAACCTTGGGGTTATCCCGAGTTGACTTTGTTCTAATAGCGTTGCTCGTTGGGGGTGATTATTATGTATGGTTTGGTTTTTACTCTTTTGTCTTGCACAACTGAACCTTCGTAGGATGGCCTAGGGAATTGCGGAATTGCTACTGCTCTTGGACTTGTTCGAGCAGGCTTTGGAGCTACGCTGAGTAAAGCTATCGAAGGCAAATCAAACAATGCGGCTCGCCATGCACTTCTTGCGTGGCGCGAGGAACTCAAGCAAGAGTTGCAGACAAATGCATCTGGCATGCTGCCTACCCGTAAACCGGCCCTCGCCCAGTCGCTTCCTTCTTCGTTTCCGAAACTCGACATCATTCGGCTATATCTTCACCCAATAGTCTCGGAGGACATTCCTGGTCTTGTCATTCAGCGCCGTATGCCCAATCTCAATGCTCTAGCCATACTAGCCGAACGACTGTTCAATTGGGGCCATATAGCCGGCATTGTGAAGCGTATTTCTTCCCGGATTCTCCCGAGCCTCGTGGTAACAACTCTCATCACATCAACACTCGCAAATGACCATGGTCAAGCATCCCCACGGCCACCAATTCTCAAACGGATTGAGCGCGAGCGCATACATCCTAGCACAGGAAATATCCGAGAGTTCCGAATCTCAGTGGCTCTTGACCCTGCTATCCTCAATGACGCCTTGATAGGCCTGACAAGCGAGCATGAGCCTATCGGATCTTGGTCGGAAACGGAGGTTACAAAGATGAGGGTTTGGATACCTGCCTCCATGGTGGAGGCTGTGGACAGATCGTGGGTTTTGGATTTCCGTTGTGGTCCTGCCGTAGGTACAAAAACCAGCCAGAAAATCCAAGGTAGGTCTTCGATTCCTCAAATCGCTTGCTTAATATTGTTAGGTGGATCAACTCGATACACGGCTATCTCGACTACGTTCCGTGGCCATGAGCAGATTTTAATTATGAGTGACTCAGATGGAGAGTTGTAGAGGGATAAATTGGCGATGTGGCTATCCTAGACATTCTCCTAATTAACCGTGTTTTGTTTCTCTCGCTTCTTTCATGGCATTCAGTTTGGTCTCCCCAGAATACTCAGCAATATTTGATGCAGTCGCAAAACGATCAGCGGGCCTTACAGATGTGGATGAAGCTGAAGAACGAAGGATAGAATTAGAGGAGCGGGAGATTGAAGATGATTTGGAGGGGGAGCAAGAGGCATTTGGGTTTCCGAACTTGGATGAGGTAGAAAGAGAGAGTCTGAGGGAGGAGATGGACGATGAAGATAGCGATGGTGATATGGACATGGACGTCGATGATCAGATACACAACTTCAGCAACCTTCCGAGCAAAGCTAATGCGGGTCCCATCAATGTTGGCGATATGAAAAAGGTTATTGCAGAAGCATCAAAGGGCGTTATCGAGGCAACAGACGCAACATATCGACGGTAGCTCTGCCTTATCCGGAGATATATTTTAATTTTAATTTGTTAGGTTAATCACCCAATGCGAAAAATTTATGCAAGAAAAGGGCTTTATCTCTCAAGGAAAATCTTTCTTTTCACCAACACCATCATCCGATGCTCCAGCTTTTATTATTGCTTGGATTATGACTGAGTCAGTTATTTAATGAAAATATTTAGGCTGATTCTAATTTTTACTTAGATGTGATGATATTGAATTAGATGGGACATCGAAGCCTGCAACAAAGGTGCGGGCATCATATAGTCATGCACAAAAAATGCGTGCTGCTGCGACATATGGCTTTGGTCGTGTGGCTGATCTGGGCTCACGTCCTTGGGAACAAGTCGAAACATTTGATGCGGGAGTCAGAAAATGGCGCTATGCTGGAAATCCTTCTGTCTCCGAGTCGGTTTCACGTTACATGGTTACTCTCAGAAAGAAGAAAGTACGTGCTGGAGAGGTTGCGACAAGTGCCCGAGCCATTACACCAGTAAGTTTGGTGATTTTACTATAACTACAGCTAATCTTATAATAAGGATATGCTCTACAAGCTTTATCATTACAACAATCAACCTGAGATTGCGCAGATTAATCCAGTTACTCGCAAATCACGAAACAAATCAAACATCGACAACTGGTGTGGTGGCCGTACAAGAGCCATGTTGCATGCTGTTTATGTTCTTGCATTTCTCTGTTTGCTCCGTTTCGATGAGGCTTTGAAAATCCAGCATCAAGACATCAAGCGTCTTGATGAGCATAGTTTTGAGGTAACACTTCCCTTTCGAAAGACAAGTCAGTATGGAGGTGAGTTATCGTCGCTCCCATGGGCCATGGTCATCTAAAGCATATTTACCTCAGATATCAAACCATTTGTTCTTCATGAGCGTCCAGAAGAAGAGGCACACCTGTGTCCCGTTCGTGCATTAGCATGTTGGCTAATGGTGAACGAGCACGATGATGGATATCTCTTCCCGAACATTACCAAACGGGACCAAATCGGTGCTCCTAGCTCTCCAATGGTATTTTAGCAATTATACTGAACAACTTGCTCATAATATTTAGAAATCAGAAAGATTCTTGGAGTTATTCCGAAATAATCTACTGGATATTGGCTATGATCCCATACCATATGGAACACACTCATTCCGCCGAGGAGGCTGTCAGTACTTTGCGACGCATCAACGTTGGAGTATCAGAAAAATTTGTGAATGGGGAGGTTGGAGTATGGACTTTTCTCACTTGACAATCGTCAAGTATCTTATCAGTTGGAACGATGATCCAACTCTTCGCCGTGAGGATTTCTTGAATCCAAACCAGCTAGTCACTCGGCACTGCCCAACATGTGGTCGTAACTGCCCTTGTGGACTCTAGATAGATAGATATGCAATCGTCTAAAATGCACCAATTATTCTTGTTCCTATATTATGGTAATCCCTGCTAAACCCTTTAGACGCTTATACTCTTCGGCAATGTCCCACTCTCGACTCATTACAACTCGTGCCCCCCCAGTCCTTGTCGAGTTGTATGAAAAGACCTCTGAGAATCGATTTCCGTACTCTGCACGTGCTAGACGGGCTAACTCCGTGTTTCTCGAAATGCGCTGTTCCCGTAAGCGGCGGAGGATGGCGGTGAAGCTCATCCTTTTGCCATCAGGAGTAGAAAACTCATCCCAAAAATCTGCAGCCGACCCACGTCGGTAGCGCTCTACAAGAAACTAAACAAAAGTTGATGAGAATCTTTAGCCATATTGAGTTTACGAACCTTCCACTCCGTCCAAGCTGATTTGTGAGCTGACCATTGACCCGTTCCTCGAAACAGCTCCCGCCAGTAAACAATCGGTATATGCTGCCCCCGAATACGGAGCACCGAAGTGCCTTTCCAAAAGAGGGGAGTGTCATCCCACATCTCATTGAGAAGCGCTATGTCTTTCGCAAAAGACATGGCAGGAACATTGAGTTGCATAAGCTCATTACCTGTCACTGGGAACACAGTACCATCCCAGAAGGTTAGCGAACGATCACTAGGGTGTCTGGTCATTGGTCTAGACAAACAAAGGTCATATTTTGAGCTATTCGGAATTGTTACACATACCTTTTGTCATCAGGACCCGCTGGTGCAGATAAAACAGTGTTCTGTTGACGAGGATTTCAGCCCAAGTAAAAGACCAATATAAGCAAACCATCTGAGTATCCAAGGTCGTTATAAGGCTCATGTCAACTTGCAATGGTTGTGCATGACTGTTACAGTCAATATTCTGCATCGTCGAGTCCAAACCTGTTTGCTCCATATCCATTCGACCGCCAACACCGTGTTGATTTGATTCCCTCCGAACCCTCAGATCCTCAGCATTGCTTGGCCGATAACTCTGTGACAAAGAGGCGAATTGAGTTTCGAGTGCTCGTAGGCGAACAGAAACATCCTAGATTTGGTGAATATTTCCAATAAGAAGAGCGAAAGGGAAAAGATATACAGATGTAATAGTAGAGCCTGGTTGCGATGCTGCAGGCACCGATGCTGCTGGCACTGAGTACAGCGTGGAGGATTGTTGTTCTGGAACGGGCGGTCGATAGGGAAGTCGTGCATAAGTACGTTTTGCCTATTTAGATTACTTGATCAGCAATGCTCCGTTCGAGAGATAACATACCCATTCTCGCATCTCCCATTTATCGAGTTCGGTTCTATTGTCCTTTGAACGCTCCGTTACCCGCTCCGTGTCGATGATATTAGCACGCCGAGTATCCGAAAGCTTGACTTTGGCCTTCTTCGTGTCCTCTCGTGGGCCCTTGTGCGTGCGCTGGGCAGGCACTCGTTGCCATTCCCGACTAGACATTATTGGTTTCAATGTTGTGATAAGAGAAGGCAGAAAAGACGCACCAGTTGTCAGGGTCAGCACAATACTTTGCGCTGAAGTCACTAAGGCGCTTCTCGAGGATGGGTTTATTGCCGGTAAATGGCAGCTTGTAACTCCGAAGCATGTCTTGAAGCTGATGTTTAGTCTTCCCAACGCTACAGATCCATAAATGCCAGGAAGAACTCAAAGAATAGGCGCTACTCACATTACTCGCTCATCACTACCACCATCTTTGGCTGGAAACAACAACGCATTATGGGCAGCTGCAGCAGAGACCTCATCTGCAGGAATTGGGGCCATTGGTCGTTGGTGGTGGGAAGTAGTCGGCTTGTTGGGGCAGCGCGGATGGATAGAGGCCTTGAACACCCAAGCGACTTGCGCTACCCCTAGGCCAAAGCAGAGAATAAGTGCTGTGACGACGGAGAGAGGGACTGGAAGTGTGCAGGTGGTGTCGACAATGTTGGCAAGGAACCAAGAACTGGGAAGGGCAAGGGCAGTGGATAGACGACGAGTAGTAGCAGTGATCAACGACGAAACGACGGTGACCCTGAGATAACATAATGTGAGCGAGCGGAATGTGAGCGACGGACGGAGGCAAAGGTGTCGTGTCAAGGAAAAACGAAAGAGTGGGCCATCAAATGCCCATCATCAAAAACAGTCGTAATCACTCGACGGTTTGACGCGATCGCCAGCGTGACAAAACCGTCTTTCTGACGAGAGAAGTGAAGCTGGTCATTCTGTCACAGTCACACCGTGACCTAATCCTTCATCTTGCCCTCCATGAAGCTCGTCAGGTTCCTCATGAAACTCAACAACGAGTCGGTCACTGTCGAGCTTAAGAATGGCTCTGTAGTGCATGGAACTATAACGGGTCAGAAGCCATCGTGAACATCATATAGTGAAGACTGACGCTTTCTAGGCGTTGATATGCAGATGAACACACATTTGAAAACCGTAAAGATAACAGCAAGAAACCGCGAACCCGCATCGCTGGATGCCCTTTCTATCCGTGGCAATAATATCCGCTACTTTGTGCTTCCAGATGCCCTTCCACTCGACACAGTGCGTCACAACGATGTTTTCAACTTTGTTTATCTTTCTCACTCTCTTTCAGTTGTTGGTTGATGATGCGCCGAAGCCGAAAAACCGCAAAAAGGAGCTCGATGGAGCGCGTGGTCGTGGAAGGGGACGGGGCGGGGACAGAGGAAGGGGTGGTGGTGGGCGTGGGCGTGGTGGAGGTCGTGGCAGAGGGAGAGGTTTCTAGCCCGCATAAAAGCGTCAAAACGAGACGTGTGTTGTATCGTTCCATTCTTCTCCGTCTGCTTCTTGTCTTGTACTGAAGGTTCTAATATGAGCCTAGCTCCAACCCATGCCTGTCGCCTCGAGTCATAACCAACCAAGATTGCTTTCGATTTGGCCGATTACGTGCAACAGAACAGCTGTGTCTATCTACTTACAAGACTTTTTATGAATTTTCCAGTCCTTATGCTGACACTCTTGCGAGCAATAAGTCGCTTTCGAGCACCTGGAACAGCGCAACAACTTGGGCTTTCCCGCGGATTCACAGACCACACACTTCTCCGCCGACTCTCTGCGACTCTGAGATTGTGGCGGAAGGCTCTTCAGGTTATCTGGCCGACCAAATTGCTCAATGTACGACAACGCAAATAGCGGCGTCAGAGCAAGCCTGGTCGCGGAATGCGCAAACGGCCGCCACGAAAGGGTTCGGCGCATTCCCGCAACATCTTTGCCCCGTCCACAACTGCACAGCGGATTTTTGCCCATTTCGAGAGAAAGCGGGACTTGACTGTCAGGCGAGAGGTATTCGCAAGCGGCAGAGTGCTGCCAAGAACGACAGCGTTCAACCAGGGCGGGGAGAAGCTGCTTTATCATCCGAGCCTCGTCTTCGGATAATGGCACGCTGAAACGGTCTAACTTTCGAAAAGCGCCAGCGAAAGCAGAGTTCGAAAGCATGTCGAGGCTGAAGGGGACAATGTAAGCATCCCCAACTACAGTGTGCGACGCCAGGTCGAGTTTGAGCTCATCCACGAACAGGATCAGGTCGCAGTCTTCAGTTGTAGAGCGGCACAGTTCGACGACCCGTTGTCGCTGATTGCCAGGACTGTGCAAGCCATAGGCGCTGGCGATGAGGCTCGACATGATGCGTTTTGCTGACGCAATTGCGTCTTCGCTTTCTCGTTGCGCAAGCACCAAAGCGTATTCTCGTTCTGACAACATCGAACCCAGATGCCAATCGAGCCACTTCTTGGAATTTGGCGCGTTGATGGGAAGCGTCGGGGAGCGGGTGAGGTTGATTCGGTGGATGTTCCAAGGGAACGAAAAACCAGTATCCGTGCGGACAACAGGGAACATCGTGGTGGACTTCATGCCGCCGTCTTGGAATGGTCGGAACGGAGGAACGATGATCTAGCAGACAAACGTGAGCTAGTAGTTGCCAATGAAATCCTAACTGACCTCGATATAGGACGATTTTCGAGCTAGTTTCATTTTGATCTGCCCTCCACGAATCGGGATTGGGAAAATGACATTCTGGGCATGTTTGTCGATTTCCAGTTTGAGAACACACGACGAGATCTGCGAGATAGATGGTAATGTCTTGGAAGAAAACAGATCTTTGGCATCGACATTATCGACGTCGACTCTACAAGATAACGAATGGAATGCTTTGGACTTGTCATCAATGTTCACGTTTATCGGGCCGACTGAGCCAATCGGGCCAGGAATTGACGTGGAAAGCTTAGACTGCTGCAGGTTGCCAGGAGGAGCTTGAGGTATGATGTAAACATGGTTCTTATCCGTGAGGCTGGCTGAGAAAATTGTGTTGCCTCCGAAAACTGCTTGCTTAAACCCAAGGACATTCATTGCTTGCATTGTCGAGGCCGGCGTGTTGCGTAACGCGAAACAAACTTGAATGCTACTAGCCGGCGCGAATGTTAGAGACATTGCGGACGCAAGAAAGGTCAAAACCATCGGCGACGACCCGTCCAAGCTAGCGATGGAGCTGTTAGTCATCGCTGGCTCGAAGACGACATTGGGTCGCTTTGAGGTACCGGTCCTAACGAGTGTGCCAAACTGGGCGGTAACAGAGGTGTAAACATTGACGGTAGCCGCTCCTTGGATATGGCATTCAAGGTTGAGGCTTCCGATTTTATCAGCCAATTCGTCTATAACCGAGAATTTTTCCGGTGGGACGACTAGAAAGGGGTACGCGAATCGGCCGCAGCACTGCCGCAGCAGCCGCTGCAGCGGCACTTTGCACAGCCACGGTGAGCGGCAACTTAAGTAGGCTGTTGATATACATTGAATCCTTATACTTCGCTACATTTTGAATAAAATGATTCAATCTACACTTGTATGAACAGCTAGAATAGAGTACACTTGTGTTTAAACCTTAGAAAAATGCCTTATCAAAATTGAGACAAACAATGGTAAACAGCCGCAGACGGCTCTGACGCGGCCGCAGCGGCACTTTGCAGCGGCAGATGCTGACTGCCGCATCCCACTGCCGCTGCTGACATCGGACCTTCAGCGGCAGTGCAGCGGTCGTGCAGCGGCAGTGCAGCGGTCATGAGGCGGTCGTGCTGCGGCAGTGGTGCGGCAGTGCTGCGGCACCCCAGCGGGACCGTCACACTGCCGCTACACACATGTACACTGCCGCTACACACACAGTTACCGCTAGGAGCACTGCCGCGCGCTGAAGGTGACTTCTCCCTTGAGTCGGCGACGGCGTTGTTACGAAAGCGTCACCTGACACAACACAGCCACACGCATCTTGCCTTCGACATCCATCTGCGAGATGGAGAACACCATTGTGTGGCTTCTGGGCGCCTCCAACGCCCTACTCGTCATCATCCTAGGCCTATATCACGCCTCTGACATTGCTTCCACGGCGTCTGCGTGGCTCACTTTGCTTGCAGCCCATATCAACGTGGCAGCCTTTGCGATCTATGGGCTGGTACTTCTGGTGCTGTTTCTTGGCTTTATAATTCCAAAGCCTGGATATATTATTAAGACTTGTACCTTGGTAAGAGCATGTGTGAGAGAGCAAAGTATACATGGTATGGCTCACATTGGATCCAACTCTTTCCTGTAGATCTATAGAAACCAATTTACCAAAAAAGGAAATTTATGATATATGCCTGCTATTGAGATGTGCATGGCTATCTAAGGTTTGATGAGAGCCTAGGAGTCTTCTACACCTAACTTTCATCTCCTACAACATAGACTTCAACAACTTAAACCACTATAACCTGGTAGAAATATTATCTTAAATGTCTTGGATATTCAATACTAGAAAATCTCTGTGGTGGACATAATATTAAGACTTGGCCTTCTGGTATACTATCCATTGGGCATATTTCTATATATAACTTGTTGCATATCACATCTATGAGATTTCCTCCCCTCCTCTCTATGTCAGATGATGAGCTGATCCAAAAAGGAAATTATGTTACTTCTGTGCCCAGTGTTAGAATTTACTGAAATTGGGTGAGTAAGTCTAAAGCTACCTCTCTTACCTCACTGGGCTCCCAGGAGGAGTTAGGTCTGGGCTCTTGAATTGTTATTCAAAATTTTCCTTTTTGGGTAGAGTGTACATCCTAGTAACTGCAGTGACTTGGCCACTCAGCAGGCTGAATGGGAGTGGAAACACCCCCCCTCTTGTCTCACTGAGGAGTTGAGTCTATATAGGTCAAAATATTGCCAAGAATTTTCTTTTCAAGTTGTGACCATGTATGCTAGATCTACACTAGGTCCTGAACCCATGGCTAACCAGCATTCCCTTGTGAAACATAATTCTAAATAAGCAGCAGTGCAGTGGCATCTCACGAGAAGTGCAGCAGTGCTGCAGCACTAACGCGGCACTGTAGCGGTACTGCAGCGGTAGTGACGCGGCACTGCAGCGGTACTGCTGCGGCACTGCTGCGGCATTGCAGCGGCTGCAGCGGCCAATTAGTGTAGCCCGACTAGAAAGACACGAACGACGGGTGGTACATCATCCCAGTCCGCGAAAGGCCCGATGCGCTCTGTTTGCCGGAAAAAGTGTACCGTGTGAACTCCTTGAAGGCGCAGTTGAGCAGCGAAATCCTGATAGTTCGCCGGGTCCATCAAGAGCGATGGTGTAGTTTCTTTGATCCGGATAAAATTTTCCATAGTCTCGTTCCACGCAGTTTCTGAGATGTTGAAGCGATCTTTGACGAATCGGAGGATGAGCGTGAAGCTCTCACGCGTGTAATGAATCTCGTTGGAAGTAACCATTGCCCTGTCTATGTGTCCAGCGTTCATGCCCCACCATTTGTGTGCATCTTCACTTTCAAACATGCGGTGGTAAACAGCAAAGAGCAGAGTAGCGAGCTGCCGGTTGTCCCATATGACCATCGGCGAAGACGAAACGAGATGATCTCCCGATGAAGGTTTCCTCCAGGTCGTGGGTTGGTGAAATGAGAACTGCTTATTGTCCAGCATGATCCATTCATGAGTATTGCAGCGAGAGGTGAAGCCAGAGAGGTAGTCAATGGGATATAGGCCAAAGAGGAAAAAGATCGTGTCCATGTCCCCGTGGAGTCGGTTGACAAGTTCTTTGGCTGCGTCGGTTCCTCGCGAAAGAAGCGATTCAGTATAAAGCACCCCAGTTGTTGCGGACAACAATGGGACAGTAACCGCGAGTAAATTGAGGATCCCCAGATGATCCGACAAGTTCGAGGTATCGATGATATCGAAAGTCGTAGGCACATCAGGGAGAAGTTGAACATCCCTCGAGCTCCATGGAGAAACCGGAAACTGAGAAGCATTATGTTCAGTTTCGTTCAGCGTTCTACAGAGCGCCAGAGCTTCGCTTGCGACGAATCTCAATACTAGCGTCGCTCGTGGTGACCGAATGGCGTCCTGAAACACCGTACACCAGCTTGAAAACTGGCCTTTGGCCGTTCTGACAAGGTCATCGACAGAAGGGCGGATTTTGCGACTGAACAATTCCGCAAGATGGAATGGCGCGACGGGATCTGTTCCATAATGAAGAAAGGCACCTTCCCCTGCAAGGGAGTAAGCGAAGATAGGGTTCAACAATGTGCATCGAGCAATATCTTTCTGGCTGGAGAATGTGGTTCCAGTCTGCCAGTATGCATCGGCTTGTTTCGTGCAGATGGCATCGGCCTCGCGACTGACGAGTGGGCCGACTGAACGGAGACCAAGTGGTATGAATATTTTGGCGCGTTTGCCTGGAATGGTATTGAGGCCAGCGACGATTTTGTTTATCCGCTGGGGCGGCAGATCGTGAAAGTCGATATAGAGCTGCCAATGACGTCGGAGTTCTTCAAAAGTGTGTTGTGTACCGATTTTTATGATGCGGCCGAATGGAGAGGCCTCCCATTCTCCAATACTGGAAGCAAGTTGAAGGAGCTTTCGACATTGGGCCTTGAGCTGTGCGAGGGTATTTTTGTCGATCTTGAAATGGAAGAAAATGTTCCACGCGGTATCAAGCGAGACCCCATCCATTAGCATTGTGTACAGAAGAATGTTTCTGGCTAAGGGTACTTGAATTAGAGACCGTTTGAGGAGAGCGAAGTCACTCACCGAGGATAGCGGGGTCGATATCACTACAGGTGAAGTCCAAGCCTCGTGAAACTAGGGGATAGTCAACGCACTGCATTGAAAAAGACTCCAAACATACATCCTTCTTCTTCGCAGTATATGCTGTACAGCACATTTCGCGGGTCGCCGCATCCAAGCAACAACAGTTTGACTGGCTGTTCTGGCGGCACGTCGCGCAACAAGGACACTGCGACCGTATTCCCGATCGCATAGAAATAATGCGTTTTTTGGAACACCAGTGGGTTTGCCATGGCTGTTGACAAGTACAAAGCGCTGCCTCGTGCTCACGCAATTTTGGAACAGCTTTCTTTGCCGACTAACGGCCACCATTGCGAACTTGAAGTGTGTTAATTAGAAGCTTGATGTCAATCCATCTAAGTAACTTACCTTTGAGTCCAACCATGTGGCCGAATAACTCACTGAGGCTTATGCCCACGGCAGCCCACCAAAAGCTTGAGCTACGAGCATGACCAACAGTTCTTATGGTTGGTTTGGGGTTAGAGTTTGGCGGCTTAAGTAATCGTGTTACTGAACTTGCAAAGACATACTTACATACTCGAATGTTACTCAGAGGCATGGAGATATCGTACAACAAAACAGAATTCTACAACTTCAAAGAGGTACATTCTTGTTTGTTCCAGGGTCGGCCCAGGTCTCAAGGCTGCGGCTCATTTCAGGACACAGTCTGATGATGTAATCCGTAACAAGGGACACACCTTATGAGACCATAGGCCTGGGGGAACTGCTGGGCCAGCACTGGATTGACTGCAACAGTCTGTATTTGATACTGAAGGCGGTTGAGAAGCGCCTGTGGAAAAATGAGAGCAAATCTCGAGTCAAATGAAGCAGTATACGTGCTGGCCCAGGATGATAAACGTTACGCCATTCGGGAGTTGTGGGCGGAAGTGAATGACCGAGTTTATCGTTGTCTTGACATCCGAGAAGCTGTAGGTGAAATCGGTCAGCAGTGGGCGAGATGGTTTACAGCAGCGTACGTTATATCCATGAAACAACTGCCTTCGGACTGGCCCCTGGTCACGGCAGGACTGAGCTGGCTAGTCAAGACAAAGGAAGTTTGTGCGCCAGTGTCCCAGAGAACCCAAACATTGGTAAAGACCGACTGAGGCGGGTTTGGGGAAGGATCCTCTGCGTTCGTAACGACGATTCGCGTCGCGCGGATGAAAGGAAGTTTGTTGGCCGAAGTTTCCTGCGATATGGAGAGCCATGTGCTTGACGTGAACGGGTCGGAAACCACTCCATCAGGGAATGCTTCCTTGGTAAGCTCCAGGAGTCGGCGACGACGCTCTTTGAGCAACGGATCAACATTCGTGGGCTCGGGAGGATTGGCAATGAATTCGGAGACCGTGGTCATTTCAAGGCCGGTGGGAGTGTGCAAAGCGACTAACAAATGAGCATCGAGAGCACAGTGCATTGCAAAGGACTTACGCTGGGTTAGTGCTGCACGGCGCTCAGCTACTTCAAGTTCGACCGTTGAGTTGGCGCGAAGCTCATCTTCGGCATGAATAGCGTCGAGGAGATCCTGGAATACGACATCCACGTTGAGTTTCTTGAGTGCCGCTTCAAGGGAGGCAACCGAAACAACCCCAAACGAGTCAATTGTCGAAGGAGGAGGAGGAGGAGGCGACATAGAGAATTGGGTCTGGTGTCTGCGTCACTCGAGACTTTATTCCCCCTGGTTTGTTCTTCTATTTCATTCGAGCTGCAGGCAAGATGCAGTTCAGCTGCCATACAGTAACTTGGTGCCCCGTCTCCAAACCAAGGTAGCGTGAACCGTCCATCGCCGGCGATTGTGGCGTTCCGGAACGGTTATGGCAGGCCCATTGTGTAGGAATTGTGCATCAGAGGCAAATCAGAGGTTGGCGTGACATATTGTCACGTGCCGTGACATCTCCATCTCGACGGACTCTTACCAAACTCTTACTATAGACCACTTGGGCCGTCTCAACGTGTACTATGTGACAAGCTAGACTGGCAGAAGATCTGGTAGAGGTAATAAACTTTGTCAAAGAAGGATATACCAAATTCGGACCAACTACCGGTTCGTGAACTGGGCATGGGTATAAATATGGGTGGCAGCTTCAGCAGTTATTGGAGATCGGCTGTGCTGTGTTCCATCAGGCTCACGATTACTATTAACCCGCAAGCTGGTGGCACTAACCCTTCATAAGTAGCCGGCGCTGGCCCTTTTCAAGTTGTGGGTGGACCCTGAGGATCAAGAAAAGTTTGTTTGACCGTCACGGCTATTACTGCTTCCATCTCGAAGTTGAACTTGATCCCACCTTTCCTTTCCACCACCTGCACCATGGCTCGACCCTTGACCTTCCGAAACAGAGCCTTCCATCCTATCAGCGACTCCGGCCCCGCAACGTCGTTGTTGCGAGATGTCGCTCCAGAGCCCTCTGTCAACATATTGGCCCTGGGATGCGGTGACATACGCAACGTTCTGTACACCATTTACTCTGAATCGAAGAATCGTAAGGGACTACCATAACTTCTCTCCAACTTGCTGACCTTGACACAGTGAACCGCAAGTTGGATTTTACCTTTTGTGACATCGAGCCAGCGGTGCTGAGTAAGACGTCTCAACTCGCGCTAGCATTTCTGAAGTATTTCACAGCGCGCAACATCATATTGCTCACGATGATACTCGATAACGTCGACATCGACACCATCTGGAATCTCTTTCTTCATATCTACATCGACCAGAAAACCCTTGATGGCCTCGTGTTGCATTGTAACAAGTTGTTGCAACTCAGTACCCACAACGACTGGGCTGCCTCGGACTACGGCAAGAGCATTCACATCGGCTCTGAACACACGTTCGATGAATTCCGCCTCCACTTGGTGTTGTACACCCAGATGAACGATCTTCCGGTCACTCGTCTTGCGGCGCTGAAGGCTGACTTCAAGGAGCTTTCGCACTCGGAAGCGGCTGTAATTCTTCAAACAGTTACCCTATATCCCAAAGAGGTTTCGGACACCTGTTTCGATCTATTTAAAGCCTACTGGACGGTGGGGACGACGTTCTCGGATCCAACGGACATCTCTGCAGCGACACTGCTGAATCCGACCTTCGTTTACTCGGCGGCTGGCCAGGCTGCTCAGATTTCTCCCACAACCAATCCGATCTCGCCGTTTCACTTTACCGAATTATTCGTTAAGGGCAAACCCACTGTCCGCGAGATGCTCGAGACAGCCAAGGCTCAGCTGGTTGCTTGGAGCTCTGCATTTCGAGTCGCTATCCAATCCCACGATTCATCGCTCGTTATCCGCTTCATTACAAGCGACGCATTGGCTCTCTGTCGTACCATAGCGTCAGGGAAGAGTACCATATCACTTCCCGTTTCCCAATGGCGCTCTGGCGTCGTCCAACTCGATCACGACCTCCCTTCGTCGTTTCACGTCGTAGACACATCCAGCATCTCAGACCACCTGGGGATTCTTAATATTCTTGCTGTTGCGATTCCTCTTCTTCCCGAAGACGGCGTGCTTTATACCGATACAGTTATTCCAGTCGGCGGAAAGCTCGAAGTGGCCAAGGAGTTCATCGAACTACTTCATGGCGATGTCGATACCATGTCCTTCTTATTCGGCGTGCACCCGGTTGATCATCTTTCGGGTTTTTCTTCGCGCACCTTCACCATCTCAGGCAGAGGATTTGCACAGTTTACAACGTGGAAACGGCCGGCCTCAGTCGATTCCATCGCTGGTTCTGTCCCAGTAATCTGGGATGGCCGCATGCTAGGGCGGTTGTTGTTTGGACTCTACAATCGTATCTTCTCTCTCGAGGATACGATTGACTGGACGAACTTCCGAATAAACCATCAAGCATTCAAGAGATCTCTCAAACTGGGAAATCGCCTCCCCTACACACGCGAAAGCTTCGTTTTGATGCTCCAGTCTATCCGAGGAAACTTTTGCATCCCAGACTCGACGTGGACCCTGGTTATGGAAGAGTTTTGCAACCAGCCACGCTCGTTTGGCTTCGACAATGCTTCTATCAATGAATTCAAGGCACTTCTTCATGTCAAGGGGCTTTATTCCCACCCAGCCCTTAACACAAACCCGCCGCAGCGCGTCGGACCGTTCGCCTCCTGGATAGAGGTCCCGCTCGTTGTCAGAATCTATCTTGTCGTTCCCCTCGAAAAAGTGCAAATCGTCCGTCAACTCGCGGAAAACACAAGTGATCCTCTCTTCCAGTGTCGAGTGCACGACGCTGTATCTGCGTCCATGTTCAATTCAGTGGATGCATTCTTCGGCACCATTGAAGACATCGGCACAGAGAGTCAGCCAATGGTGATCCCTCAACCTGGGCCATTCGGCTCATCGCCATTCGTGTTATCCTTCCTCATATGTGCTGCTGATCTTCATCGAGACAACTTACATGTGTCTTTTCATCCTCGACATAGTTTCGGGTCGTTGCAGTACTCCTTCAGTCTCTTGGGCCCGCACCAAGAAATATTTTCCGCAAAACTTTCGGATAAAAGGCATGTCCATATAGTGCCCTATGATTATTGGCTCCCCAAAATGAGCAACTCTCTCTCTTCTACTGCACAAATCACTCGCCCCGTGCTCGACGACAAATGCGAGTCACTCCGAGGCTTATCGACTCAGATTCAGATCACTGATCATGACGCTCAACGACTTGCCTTGGGCATAGTACCGGAGGTTCTCCAAACGTCCCCACGTTCGCTCAAGGTTTCTATCGAAGATCATTCATATGATGCCCACTTCCCTGTTCCCGTGCGTGGATCATTCAGCAAAGTCACCCGAAGGCAAGATCTGGCTCACATCCAAGTCGGTCATTTGGCCTACATATCCGTTTCTAGCATTAAACTTTTATTAGCTGTTTGTACCACCTTCTCGTGCTTTACCGGACTTTGGTTTACATGGTAATCCTTTCCCGACCGTGGGACACCAGTCTGGCCTTCATTCTTGGAATCTCTCGCGCCTCAATTTGTCTCAATGTCCTTCCATCGGTGTCTCCGACTCCACAACAACATGGTGCGAAAATCGTTTCACGAGGATGGTGTCCAAGCGCGAGCTATCTAGTCAGCAAAGCACGGATATTCCTGCTTTCATCAAGGCCAAAGGCTTATTAGGATTTATCCTTTCCAGCACGAGCGGAGTAAATCGCAATACAAGCAGCAAAATCTTCGAAATATCCGAGGCGGAGACTGACAAGCTCAAACTCGTTGTACTTGTCGATGGGCTGAAGCTTGACCTCCCGTCGGACAGCTTTTTCGCAGACGTATATGTTTTGGATGTAGAGCAAGCGTCTCATGGTCAATTGGGTCCGGCTGCGGGTCAAGGGGAAGCGTTGTCTGTATACAACAAGCTCAAGGCGACGACATTGTCTAACCTCACCCCTTTACCTCTCAGCATGCGCAAGCACGATTTGATTATGTGGAAACAGATGATTCAGGCTCTGACTGAATGCTCTCGCTCGTGGACTCACCTTCCTTATTGCATAGCCCAGGAACGTCACAAAGCATGTAATTGTGGTCGAGGCCAGGATGTTGCGGCGGTGAAGGAGAATCCAAAATGGGCACCTTTGGCGCCATTCCTCACCAGAGTCGCGCTCCCAATCATCTTCCCCGTGCCGGTGCTGGAAGCGATGGAAAGCTGCTCGGTTTGTGAAGAGGGTGGTAAACCCAATTTGCTTCGCTGCTCTCGCTGCACTCGTGTTTTCTACTGTTCACAAGAGTGTCAACGGAAGGACTGGAAGGAGCATAAACCTGATTGCAAAGCGTAGAATTTATTGTGTTTTGTCGTATCTACGAGTGTGAAGAGTTCGATGCGAAATGTCACGTGTCGTCACGGTATTGCAGTTTTTCAGTTCTTTCATTCGGACCTCAAGTTCCTCCTACGAACCACGCGTAATTAGTGCCATGTTCAGCGCCGCCTTAGGTATTTCTGTCATCAGGTTTCTACTCCGCTGTAATACTCAAGTAATGTTAGTCCAACTTGCGCCTCAAGCTCCATCTCGGCGCCTACCAATTGCATTCTGGCGCGCGCCGATCGACGGTCATCGGAGGGTGGCTCATCTTTGATTGCACCATGGCGAGAAGCAGCGAAGGGCTGTTCAGGTCACCAGGTCAAACGGCAACGAGCATGTTATAAAGCGCGCACGGGAGTTGGTCAAACCGTATCAACGATGCTCAAGACCATACCTCTTCTGCTTCTGGCTTCCTCCTTCGCGTTTGCGCAGACCGTCAACCTCGACCCGACCATTTTCTATAATGTGCGAGGTGTGTCGTTTCTATTCCTAGAGTGTTGCAGTGATTTATACCAGATCTGTAGTTGGAGGGAAGGTCTCGGGATGTTCTCCGTTGAACAATATGATGAGCAATCGTGGCTGCGACAATACTCTGCAAGACCTTTGGGTGCGTCATTGGCAGGCATCGGTTTTCACAGGTAGTTTCTAATCCAACCGCAGAACAACGACGACGGGACTCATAACCAGCGCTACCGATTCGTCAAGGTCCCTGGTACCACCAACACTTTTAACATAATCTCTGGTGGGTGGCCAATGGACATGATCGTCAGATGATGGAATTTGGCTAGGATGTCAATTGTATCTCAGCTGCCAGTCTTGCGGAGGGTCAACCAAACCGGATCTCTATGGCACTGATGATGGTTCGGGTCGACAAAGGTGCTTTGAAGGAACAAATCTCAACGCATGGCCTTACTTTGCTTTTAGATGGATCCTCACACCCGTCTCCGGAGTCGCCAACACCTTCACAATTCAAGTAGCAGGTGGACGGGATGCGTCTTGCGGAGTCTTCCTGTCAACTGGGGCTCAATGCGGAGATAGCTATGTCGATCTCTATACTAGTGATGATGGTTCTGGTGCGGCTTTCTTTTTTTCTTCTTCTCTCTCATCAATAAACACAATCAAAGGCCGCCAGCGATGGACGCTCACTCCAGTTGCCAGCGCAGGAGGCTCGCTTCCCCGTAAGACTATTCTTTATTTCGCTAATATGCTGACAATCAACAGTTGAAGCATTCAAGTATAACGAGCTTCCCCTTGGAGCTGTTAAACCTTCGGAGAACTCTTGGCTGAAAAACCAGCTTGTCGCGCAAGCAAGTGGTCTTCACGGCAATCTTCAAAACTTCTGGCCAATTGTGCAAACCTCCCAATGGGTCGGTGGCACCTCCGATTATAGCTCTCTTCAGTCAGTGGTTCTTTTGTTCGAAAAATGCTATATTTTCTTACCAGAGAAAATATAGTGAGGGCGGATCCTATTGGTTCAACGGAATCGTACCAGCCGCTTTTCAGCTGAACGACCAACGACTGCTCGGCGACGTCGGAAAATGGGTGTCTTATATCATTTCGCATCAGACTGCCGATGGGTGGCTTGGACCAGATAGCGACCCGCGCATTCTATGGGGAACTTACCCCGCTTTGCTTGCTCTGCGGCAGTATGCCCAGGCTAACTCGACAGCGGCGCCGACCATTCTGAATGCCCTGGACAAGTTTTTCGTCACCATGAACAACATGGTTTCGACCAGTGGCGCGGGATTGGAAGAATGGGGCATTATGCGCTGGCAGGATGTCTCGATTGTCATCGAATGGATGCTCGACGTGTTTCCCAACGGAAAGGTATGTTGCATTTTTTGCGTGTGGTTCCAAGACCTGATAGGTGAATTCTAGGACACAATGTACCTGAACCTGCTCAAACTTCTGCGGACCTTCGGGGCACCATGGCCACACAGCTTTTCATCTGGTGTCCTGCCGACCGACGCCATCAACGCAGTAGACATCCGATTCCATGGCGTCAATGTTGCTCAGGCGATAAAATCTGAAGCTGTCGCTTTCAGGTTCTCTCACGATTCGGCTGACCTCGACTCCACCCGCCAGCGGATTAGTCTAATCGACCAATACCATGGAAGAGTCAGCGGAGTCCTGAATGCGGATGAACATTTAGCTGGGAAAGGCCCCCAACGGGGTTCAGAGTTGGTAGGTTTAGATCGCTTGACTTGACAACATATGTTAACGACTTTTTAGTGCACTGTGGTGGAGAGCATGTACAGCTTCGAGTATGTCTACTCTGTTTTAGGGGACAATGCATATGCGGATCGAGTCGAAAAGCTTGCTTTCAATGGCAAATTCTTTCCACAACTCGTGTTAGAGTTTACTCATCATCCTGTAGCACTTCCAGCGACAACGTCGGACAACATGTGGCAACATCAGTACCTTCAGCAGTCAAACCAAATCCAGGCTGCGCATATCGATCCCAATCCGTTTGCGACTGATGGCGTTGGTTCTTTTATTACTTTCCCCACCGTAAACTCATGTGTTTTGTAGCCCGATTCGACTATCTTCGGCTTAGCGCCAAACTATGTGCGAATTTTATCAACAGCAAGGGCATGCCTAATTTTATCGTTAGCCGTGCTGCACAGTCAACCATGGTCAAGGGTGGCCGAAGTTCATCGTGAGTTATCTTCTCACAAGTATATTCTGGCTTCAACACATTCCTTAGAGCCACGCATACATGACCTCTCCTGACTCGACAACCCTCTACCACGTTCTTCTCTCCCCAACGACATTTTCCTCGACACTCGCGAACAACAACAAAGTGTCAGTCGCGGCGCAAACCGACTACCCGTTCTCTTCCGCGATCAAGTACACCATTTCGGCGGCCCAAGCATTCAACTTTGGTATCCGTGTCCCAGGATGGGTCCCGTCGTCGCGTATTTCCTACTCCATCGATGGAGGCGCCACGCAAAGCGCTACTGCCAACAGCGCGGGATACGTTGTTTTGAACATAGGCGCCGGATCGCATTCAATCTCGGTCACGATACCGATGAACATCCAAACCACCACCGCCTACGGCAATTTCCGTCGCTGTCACCCGCGGACCGTTGGTGTACTCGCTCAACATCGATTTCTCGACGACCGTGCTGGCCACTTACTACGTGAGGATTTACTCTACATTCGAAAAAAAAAACAGGCTGATTCTTCGGACTAGTCCAACTCGAGCGATCTCAAATTCTCGCCAACTTCTGTCTGGCAATACGCCCTGTCGACCACCAACCTCGTGTATAACGGCGACTCGACCTCTTCTGCTACTGTGGCGTATCCGTTCTCACAGAAGAACCCCTTGGTGACAATCTCGGCAAATGTCTGTCCAATCAGCTGGGGCACCAACCTCAACTCGGCGGTCCCGCCACCCACGAGTCCTGCGCAATGTACCGGCACGCAGACAAGCGTGAAGCTTGTGCCGTATGGGAATGCAAAGCTGAGGATAACAGAGTTCCCGACATTTTAGTGGTAACCAAGTACAAATGTAGAGTGATTCTGAGCGAATAGTTTGACAAGAAATGTGCGTCGCTCAGGCTAATTGATTATAGCTCCAAGTTTCCCGTTCTACCCTTGAATTATACTACACCTTGCAACTGGGCTTGTGCTCCTTCCAGTCCTTGCGTTGACACTCCTGCGAGCAGTAATAAACACGCGTGCAGCGGGAGCAGCGGAGGAGATTGGGTTTGCCGCCCTCTTCGCAAACTGCACAGCTCTCCATCACTTCCAAAAGCGGCACAGGGAACAGCGGCGTGAGCGCGACTCTCGTGAGGAATGGCGCGAGCGGGGCCCATTCCGAATGCTCTTTCACCGCCGCAACATCCTGGCCTTGTCCGCAATTGCATAATTCGTTGGCAGCACAGGATGGGAGGTGGGCCCACGAGCGAGAGCATTCAGCCAGGGCGGAAACCATCTGCCTCCACGCGGCCACATTGCTTGTGTTGAGACATAAAGGGGTGATGTTTGACAGTGTCGTCGCCTTGAGCTCGTTGTACGCCGCTAACGCTTCTGGTTGGATCACATCCAAGGCATACACGTCTGCAAAAAAGCTGTCCGATGGGAGGTCAAGCTTCAGTCCGTCGACAAACAGGACGAGGCTGGGATGGTCTGTTTCGGATTCCCCGTCTGACTCGGCTTCCTCTTCCGGGTCGGATTCTTCGTCTGTTTCGGATTCTTTGTCTGTTTCGGATTCTTCGTCTGTTTCAGATTCTTCGTCTGTTTCGATTTCTTCGGTTGTGTCGGCTTCTTGATTCGCTTCGGCTTCTTTCTCCGACAACTCGAAGATCCTATTGCCGTTGGTCGGATACACGCCGCTGACGCTTGAAAGGACGAGCCCAAGTATGCTTTTGGTCATGCTAAGCGCGGTGGGGTCATTGCCACGATGTAGAGTCGCCTCGCGCTGTGATATCATCCCGAGTCTCTTTTCGCACCATGACGAGTCTGGATTTGATATAATCGGACATTGCGCCAAATTGAGGCGCGTGAGGTTCCAGGAGTGAACGCCAGACTGGTGCCCCGCGGTCGGGAAGGGATTTCCATGCAGACCGGAGTCCGGCAGAGCGCGAGAAGGTGGCACAAACAGCTGATAAAAAGTATGAATGCTAGAAATAGACAAATAGGCAATTGGCTGACCTCCAAATCTCGTCCTTTGGTGACCTGGGCGAACAATCCACGCACAGGAATCGGAAAATGGACAGAATATGAATGGCTTGCAACAGAGACCTGCAGCGAACACGGAGAAGTTTGGTGTACCGCGGCATCACCGTCGATAATCTGAATTTTGCTCGACAAACCTCGCAATGACTCGCACTTGTCATCCAACACAGGGCGAGTGATCTGCGTAGTCGTAGAGGGTAGCAAGTTGTCCATGCGGGGCAGCGAAATGTCATGGGGCACAATATGGACATATCGTGTATCCAGAAGACTCGCAGAAAATATCTCTTGATGTGGGCCCAAGAGATTGAAGGAGTACTCCAGCGATCCAAAAGTCTGCCGGACATTGAACGACACGTGCAAGTTGTTGCGAGTAAGGTCTGCGGCACAGGTAAGGAATGACAGCACGAACGGTGATGAGCAGAATGGCCCAGGTTGGGGGACTACCCTGGGCCGACTCTCTGTGCCAATGTTTACGAGGGTGCCGAAGAATGCGTCTACCGAATTGAACAAGCGTGTTGACGCTCCGTCATGCATTCGGCACTGGAAGACAGGGTCCTCGGTATTTTCAGCGAGTTCACGGACGATTTGGACTTTTTCGAGGGGAACGACAAGATATATTTTGACCACTGGCGGGACTTCCGTCCAGGCAGCGAACGGTCTGACTCGGAGTGTGGTCGTTTCAAGAGCTGCGGGGGAGTAAAGGCCATTGATATGAAGGAGCGCGACAATTTCGTTAGTGAATGCATTGTCGAATCCAAACGCGCGCGGCCGGGCCAGGAACTCGTCCATGACCTGCCTCCACGCGACGTCTTGGATGTGGAAATTGTGGCGAATAGAGCGGAGTATCACCACGAAGCTCTCGCGCGTGTAGGGGAGGTGATTGCCCAGCTTGAGGGACTTGTTGAATGCGTCGCGATTCATGCTCAAAGTCGTCCACTGAATGACATCTTCAACGGAGAAAACGCGCTTGTACAGCGCAAACAGCAACCGCCCCAGCTCGCATTCATCCCAAGCGATCGTGACGGAACGGGCGGTGGAATCGACCGACGCGGGCCGTTTCCAGGTTACTGATTGGCAAAATCCTCTGCCTGAGATGGTGAAGCTTCGCGAGGCATACCCCGCTAGATAATCAACCGGATACACTCCGAACAAAAAAGAGATGGTATCGACGTCGCCATGAAGTTGTTCGAGAAACTCCTTAGCGAGCTTGGGCTTGGGCTTTTTCCTATCCACCGCCAGAGGGATGGCTGTCTCGGTATAAAGCGCACCGTCACTCGCAAGAAGCGGAGCTGTAACAGCAAGAATGTTGAGGATCCCTATGCGGTCTGAGATACTGGATGTGTCAATCACGTGAAATGACAAAGGAAGGTCTTGATCGACTTGGACGACTCTGGAGCACCATTGGGAAACGGGAAGCGATATGGAGCTATGTCCTGACGCTATGGTACGACAAAGAGCCAATGCGTCGCTGGCAATGAAGCGAATAACCAGCGACGAACCATGAGATTGGATAGCAACACGAAATGCAGAGCTCCAGGTGGCGAGTTGAGCCTTGGCCATCTCATACATCTCATGAGCAGTGGTTTGACCCTTGACGAATAATTCTGTGAAGTGAAATGGTGAAGCTGGGTTGGTTGTGCGATGGATCTGAGCAGCCTGGCCTGCCGCTGAGTAAACAAATGTTGGATTAAGTAGCGTCGCTTCAGAGATGTCCGTGATATCGGCGAAGGTTGTGCCCACTTTCCAGTATGCCTTGAATAAATCGTAACAGACGTCTGAAACCTCCCTCGGATATAGGGTAGCTGTTTGGAGAAAAACAGCCGCTTCCGAGTGCGAAAGCTTCTTGAAGTCAGCCTTCAGCGCCGCAAGACGAGTGACCGGAAGACTGTTCATCTGAGTGTACAACACCAAGTGGACGCGGAATTCATCGAACGTGTGCTCAGAGCCGATGTGAATGCTCTTGCCGTAGTCCGAGGCAGCCCAGTCGTTGTGGGTACTGAGTTGCAACAACTTGTTACAATGCAACACGAGGCCATCAAGGGTTTTGTGGTCGATGTAGATATGAAGAAAGAGATTCCAGATGGTGTCGATGTCGACGTTATCGAGTATCATCGTGAGCAATATGATGTTGCGCGCTGTGAAATACTTCAGAAATGCTGGCGCGAGTTGAGACGTCTTACTCAGCACCGCTGGCTCAATGTCACAAAAGGTAAAATCCAACTTGCGGTTCACTGTGTCAAGGTCAGCAAGTCGGAGAGAAGTTATAGTAGTCCCTTACGATTCTTCGATTCAGAGTAAATGGTGTACAGAACGTTGCGTATGTCACCGCATCCCAGGGCCAATATGTTGACAGAGTGCTCTGGAGCGACATCTCGCAGCAACGACGTTGCGGGACCGGAGTTGCTGATGGGATGAAAGGCTCTGTTTCGAAAGGCTAATGGTCGCGCCATGACGGAGGTGATGGTGGTGCGAAGAAAGGGCGAGCGAGGTCTACTTGAATCATAATATGGGAAGAGCCGTCAAACAACCTTTCTTGATCTTCACGGTTCGGAGGTCAGGGTCGGCTACCTAAGTCGGAATCGGTGTAGTGGGCTTCATAGTTGCTTTCAAACACGAGTTCCAGTATCCTTGGATATAATGGCAGTCACCACAGTGTTCTTCTTCACTGTTAGCGATGAAGCGTTTTTAGGTGCGATGACACACGGCCCACCTCTGGAACAGATTTAGTGGGGACCTGCCTGTTCCCGCGGAATGCCTCAATCGTCATTGTTAGCCTCAAGCGAGGGTCGATACGAATGCTCTTGAGGGAACAGTGGAAACGCTTGTGGAGTTAACACCAAGGCAACTCACCGTCACCTGAGTATCACGTGTTCTGTCACAATATCGTATGGCATCAGGACCCGTGAAAGTCCCTACTGAGGTAGGATACCGAAATCCGGACAAAATTTTGAAATTTTTGACGGAGGTTTGACCAGAATCCGGACAGAAATCGAGCCCGAAGCAGACATCTTTGATCTGAAATCCGGACATGACCTGAGGCCGTTTTGGAGGTCAAATGACAAATCCGGACAAATTTTCAGCTGATCATCGCTCTTCGACCTTTCAAACGCGTAGATAAAACAGGTTCATGCATTAGACTTTAGAGTTGTAACAAGTTTTATCCTATCTTAACTCGACAATGCCCGAATCGACTATCGACTTTTTTGACGACGAAGAATTAGCTGCTCCTGACCAGCCATGGAGGGAAGCCGACTGGATTGGCTGTGGTCGGATATGGAAAGATGTACCCCGCCCCACTGCAATACAGGCTGAGCGCGCCCGCCGCATCCCACCAGAAATCATAGATACCTTGCCCCCATCGTCAATGTCTCCTGCAAGCCTCTTTGCATCCGCTAAACTTTCTCCTTTCGACGAGAAGATCGATAATGGTGACGATGACACCACTGTAGTCTTCAGCCCCGAGAAGCCAACCTTTATTCCAACCAACCCACTCCAACTCCCGCTACTCCCACTCAAGACCATCCAACGTTTGGACTGTGAGTTCGGGCAGGCCTGGTTTGACGGCAAAAAATCGATCCGACTGCATGACAGCAATAAGAGAGCGCAACTGGTTCCACTCTGGGGCATAACATATGCCAGAAGACTTCGAGTCATTGCGAAAATCTTCGGAATGTGGGAGGCGGCGTTCTTTTGGATGTATGAAGGTCGCGTTGATGAAGAGCCAGAAGAGGCAGTTTGGAAATCCAAGACGGCGGAAATGTTGTTGTCCATACCCAGCTGGGAAGGTGCAATTTCTGGGCCGGATGATAACTTTCGTTTTGAGGACCTGGCCGTAGTTCTCGGAGAACAACTGGACCCAAGAGTGCATTGTTGATGCACTCGTACGCGACATTCGACGTCAGTTGACCCTCGCCGAGCGAAAGGATGTTCTACTCCTCAACCTTAGCTTTCCGGAGTACTTTGAGGTTTCGAAAGACCTACTTGGTCATCGTGGGCAGGCCCAGCTAGAGGAATACGCTGCCCTGCTCAGTTCAGACTCCCGTCCTCGTTATCTTGCCTTCCCCGTCTATTCGCCGCCCTACCACTGGGCCGCATGCATTGTTGATCTCAAAGACAAGTGCATTCGGTTTGGGGATTCACTCAAGCGAGCTCGACCGCCTGTGTTCTCGCGGATACAAAAATGGCTAGAGAATGATGTTGGGTTATTGAAGCTGAAGGTGAGGAATGACCTGCCATGCGGGGACCAGCGCGATTCCACAAGTTGCGGAATCATTGCGGCAAATACACTGGGCCACAACACTATCCAAGATGAGCTGTGGCGTCAAACAACCGCCCGCAGCTTTCGATACCGTGCCTTCTGCACTTTGGGCGAATCCATTCTGCGATTTCAGGTTAGTGACCATGTTGAAAAGACAGATATTGTGCTAACGAAGATGGTAGACTGGACACACCGTTATTCCTCTTATTGAGGAGACTATCCCACCTCCCCCGGCATCTCTCTCTCCACCCTCCGACCTTATGGATACCACAGGTGACCCAGGGCCTCCAATATCCACCACGCAGCCAGTTCGCGAAGAGCATCTGGCAGCGATTGTTGCTGCGTGTGTCGATTCATCTCCAATGGGTCAGAAACGGGTGCGGAAGGAGTCAGAGACAATGGACAGCGAGCCGGCTCTGAAACATCAAAAGGTGGAGGTCAAAAAGCCAACAAAGAAGCTCATTCAGCCCAAGAATCTACCCAAAGTTCAAAGTGTCGAACGACCAGACATTCCCGAGTGGGTGCAGTTGGAGATTGCTGATTCCTTGCGAACTGGCGGGCAGAGTGCCACTGCCAAACACGACCGTGTGGCCAACATCCTGATTAAGCATGGCTTATTTCGGGGTAGCGAGAAGAAACTGGAGAAACTGAGAAGGAATTGCATCCGAGATGATGGTGATCCAAACCCAATTCTCGATATCAACAACCCCAAACAAGTCATCTGCTCAAGATGCCGACAACCTCAACAATTACAGGCGTTATATGATGCTAAACGCTTCCGAGACCATTGGTTGAGAATGTCCTGTCAGCCTCCAAAACCAAAAATGGTCACAGCCGATATCGCGAGCTTCTTCGGAGGTCCAAAGTTGACGCCAATGCCCCGCACGACAGTCCCTATCGTTCGTACTAAGCCGCAAGTGTTCGAAAAAATATTGTCCAGGACTTACTGGTCATATTCACATCCGTATTGACTACTACATCGACAACTGTCCCGCAACCGGCGCAGGCGCGCACTCAATCAGCGGCGGCAATAGCAATTCCAATCATCATACCGGTGCCCGCAGCATTCACGTCTGACTATACGCCTTTGACAATTCCACTTCATAACTATAGAGGGAACATGTTTATCAACACACAAGACGCTTCTCACGCTCGCAAGACTGGTCGAAACAACGCCATGAGTGGGGCTCGTGGACTGGTCCTCGGCGATTTTGTCGTTCATTACCAGCAACTGTTCAATCTCGCTACAAATCTTCTCGACTCGCCACTATACCAAAAAAGATGTGGTCGGGTATGACAAACAGGACGACAATGCTGCCTATCGAGTCTTTTCAAGCTCAACCCTGTCAAAACTGATCGACAATTTGGAAGAGAACATGGGTATAATTGCTTACCTGTTTGTCATCGGGAACCTTGTCGACGCCTATTCGAGTCGAAAAATGACACATCGGAAACGCGTACGTGCCGCCCTACATCAGTAAAATAGCATAAAAGTCTTTCTGGTCTTTGGTCTTTGGGAAGGGTCTTTGGTCTTTGAGGGTAGGTCTCTCTGGTCTTTGGTCTTTGGTGCCTGATCTTTGGTCTTTTTCCACAGTCTTTGGTCTTTTTTGAGATTAGTCTTTTTTGAGATTGGTCTTTGTTTGAGATTGGTCTTTTTCAAGAACAGTCTTTTTGTGAAAGACATAATCTAAATCATCTGATATGATCTATTTCATTATATAGTATGAGAGACAAGGATGCAATAAGAAGTTGGTGAGAGATAGAAATCAGAACATATATAGGCTTAGGACTTGCAGTAAATAAGTAAAGGCTCATTATTCAAGTTTACAACTTTATATTCCACTTCAAGTTGAGCCATAGAGACAAATCCAAGGACAAGTCTAAGCAATTTCCCAGCACACTGTTATTATCATATAAATAACCAAATACATACTACATTCAATCATAAACATGCACATGAACATTCATAACTTCTGTTAAGATGGGCTGTTTACTCGATGAAATGTGCTAAGTCCGAGCCGAGGGTGATGACGAAGTTGCAATGACAAACCGGCCGGGTATGGTCCGTAGCATCACGGACGATGTCAATCGCTCCGCAGTCACGGTCACACATCTGCTTTTTTCTTCCTGAATCCTTATCCTCCCTCTCTCTCCGAACGGTGCCCAGAAGTACAGGAACTGACGTGGAGCAGTCCAAGGTGCGTAACATGCATAGAAGGAGAGCATATACTGATATATATGCTCTATACCTGGTCGCCCGAGCTGGCAAGGGTTACCGGCCGCCAGTGGCCTGCAGAGCCATTCCCTCGCCGTTTTCGGCCTCATTCGGTGAGCGGGCGCAGGGTGGGCGGGCAAGTTAGCAGGGCGATGAGCATGTGTCGTAGTATGTAGTATGCTATGTATGTAGAACAGTCAGTTATGAATTCAATTTCTTTCATTTATTGCATCCTGAATATTACTAGAGCATCTTTGATAGTCTTTTTGGTAGTCTTTACAAAAACCCTCAGGTCTTTCCAGAGACCCCAAGGTCTTTCCAAAGACCAGGACGCTGTCTCACAAAGACCTAAGGTCTTTTGAGTCTTTTAAGTCTTTTTGGTCTTTTTGGTCTTCACCAAAGACCTAAAAGACCTAAAAGACTTTTATGTTATTTTACTGATGTAGCCGCAAAGCTGTTCTTCGACACTTGGTGGCAATTTTTGCAGAAGATGGGATACCCTCTTTCGCGTCACTACATCTCTTATGCCGCCGACAAAATTTTCCGTATGCTCATTGACGGGCTTCTGGGGCTTATGGTTATCCATCGCGACCACCTTGCGTCCGCCAATATACCACTTCTGCCTTGGAAGCATGGCTCGATGGGAAACGAACATGCTTTTGCTGCCATCCGAGCTGTGTTCCCGGACTTTAGTTTGGTTCAAGTAATACAACTGCTTCCAAATCTCAGAGCAACAATGACGCGGGCTCGGCAAGCACTTTTTTCGAAAGGAAGTTTCAAACAAACTCGAAACGGGTATAACCTTTGCGACCTCGAGGAGGACAACACCATCAATTACGCTGAACTCGCCACATTTCCCACCAACGACGAACTCATTGAGGAGTACGGTAATGCGATTGAAGAGAACAACACACTATGGGCACTATTGCATGTCGACACACATGTTCTTCATGAGCTAGCACTTCCGACTGCTGTGG